CACACACCCACTCCCCCGGGCCCAAGCCACCTTTTCCCTTCCCTTTCTCTTTTGCTTTTTTCATCCTCTATCCTTCCTCGCTTCGCTTCAACATGACATGATCTTAGTCTCGCTTAGCGCCTCACTTTGATCGACCGGGTGCTTGGGGCTTGCCATCGGAACCCCCCCCTTTTAGTACTTCTGACGCTGAGTTGCGTGTGGTGTGTGTATCCATGTGACTGAGATACCGAAATGGCTATCTGGACATGAACATCGTCATCGTCATCATACCGCTCTACTCCAATGCAGGCACACTGTTATTTGGGTCCAGACCCCCTGGCTTCGAACCCCCCCCCCCCCCCGGTAAAAAAAACCTTTTTAAAATTTTAAGCGCCCCGCACCCCCCAAAAGCCAAGAATTTTCTGGCGGTTTCCCTTTTTCCTTCCCCTTCGAAACAGGCCTTTGGGGGACCAAGGGTTGGGATTTCGGAGGGGGGGGGTTTGGCCCGTTTTGGTTTTTGGGAGGGAGGATGGGTTTTAGCCACATTTTGGCCAGGGGACGGTTTTTGCCGGGGGGGGGGGGGGGTAAAAAGAATGTCGCATATCGTATCCGCCCTATCCGTGGCCAGTCACGGCACGTCTACAGTAGGTACCGGCAGAGTAGCTAGTACGTACTGTGTTTACCATGCCTCTGTTGCATGTAGAGGTACAGTGTGTGCTTACAATAGAAAACTCAAGATTCAGAGTCAGGCCGATGGCCCCACCCCATCGCGATTCCCTGGTCCCAAGTCCCAATGTCTGTTGTAGGAGTGCACTGCCTGCATAGTAGTAGGCATCGTCAGGGCGAAGCTCCCAACACTTCATGCATTGATTGCCCACGCCCCCACACCACATCACATCACAGCCTTCTACTTATCGTACTAGTACATACTGTATGCAGGTACGCAAGCCACCATCACCCTTCCACACACACACACACACACACACCCACTCCCCCGGGCCCAAGCCACCTTTTCCCTTCCCTTTCTCTTTTGCTTTTTTCATCCTCTATCCTTCCTCGCTTCGCTTCAACATGACATGATCTTAGTCTCGCTTAGCGCCTCACTTTGATCGACCGGGTGCTTGGGGCTTGCCATCGGAACCCCCCCCTTTTAGTACTTCTGACGCTGAGTTGCGTGTGGTGTGTGTATCCATGTGACTGAGATACCGAAATGGCTATCTGGACATGAACATCGTCATCGTCATCATACCGCTCTACTCCAATGCAGGCACACTGTTATTTGGGTCCAGACCCCCTGGCTTCGAACCCCCCCCCCCCCCTCACGCCTCTCAACGGCGTCGTCCTCTACCGCGACTCATCATCGTTGGCGGCCAACATTGGCCTTGAGAATGTCCTGTAATTACACATCACACCCTTCCCCTTCATTTACATAGTACAATCAATTTGGGCAACGTAGCCTCCAAGACAAGGCCGAATACACTTCGCATATACCCAACGCTGTCGTAAGCTTTATTCTCGTAGAACTGAATCTCTCTCCATCTAGTAAGCCCAGGGTATATATATATCTCTCTCCTTTCCCGACCACCACGCGCCACCTGTATTTCCATGCAAAAAAAGAAAAAAAAATCAAGTAAAAGCACTTACCTGATCCCGACCACTCCCTCATTGGTCCCCCTGGTAAAGCACTTGTATACCATGTACCTACATACCACATGTCGTCATCGCCCTGCACTGCACCCCCTTTCAGCTTCGCTTGTTCGCGTCTGCCTGCATCTTGCGCATCGCCTCTCGATGAGCGTCCAGCATCTGCCCGCTACGCATCATACTCTCCATCTGAGACGCCCGCTGTTGTCGTTGCAATTCACGCTGTTGTCGCTCCATCTCCTTCTGCCGCCTCTCATTCAGCAAGACCTGCCGCTGTTGTTCCACAATAAAGACTGCCGTCTGAGGAGGCGTCACATCTCGCACACTATCCCTCCATCCTGCGTAGAGTTGCTCTCGCTTTTGGCTTGATTGAGAACTACTGCTCCGTTTGGGTTGGTGCGAATCAAATCCAATCGGTGGGCTCTGTGCAGACCAGCCTTTCGTCTGCCACTTCTGGGATGCCGATGGAGGCCCTCGGCGTGGAGAGGTCATCGACGTCTGGTGCTGGAGCAGAGAGATCCCACTCTGCTGCTGTAAAATCTGTCGTCGTTGGGCCAGAGTCATGTTGTCCATTTCCTTCTGATCCACCAAGAGGTTCGCTGCCGACGATTTGGGCGTCAAGGACTGAGACGACACCCGATTCTTTATAAGAGACTCTCGTTTTCCCAGCAATGTATTGCTCGGTAAAGGGGCGAGCACGTCGACATGAACGCTCGAGTTGGATCGTGAGAGATTACCCAAAGATGGGGCAGCCGGTGATTGACTTAACGCTCGCTGTCTCTTCTGTGAATTCAGCGAGAATTTTGAACCCGATCGAATCAACCCCTGGCTGCCAGTTTCCTGCGCGTTCTCCTCGGGTAATATTCTTCTTGAAGACCTGCTACTCGCCAGCAATGATGATGCTAGCTCCTCACTGACCGGTGCAGGTGTCTCTTGTGGGAATCCTTTAGAAAGGGCGATGCCTGGAGAATCTGGCGTTTCCAGTTCCTCGAGAGTGGGCTTTTCGGCCACTTCCAGATGCTTGGCCCATTCGTTCGTGCGGTACGACTGTGCCACCTTGGACAATTTTGTGGTTAGTAATCCATCCCTTAAGCTGCCCACGTGTGACTCGGCGCGTTCTACTTGCGTCAATGCCACCGATTTCGCTTGCTTCGAATCGGAATCTTTTTCATCTTCATTAGTTCCAGGTGATGACGTGTCAGCTTGTATTCGCGACTCCCGACGGATTGATCCTCCGTTCGATAACTCATCTGGTCCGGATTTGATGCTAGTTGTCAAGGATTGTCCAGCTCTCATCTGCGAGGCTGGAACTTCAGGTACAGTGTCGAGGGCAGGCTTATCTGTTGCTTCACCTTCTTCCTTCGGCGGCCGATTGCTCGCTGCCTGACTTGCAGCCGACTTGTCTTCTGCCTGCTGTACCGAGACATCGGGACCTTCAGGGATTACTGGCTGTTGGGCGTCCAAAGGTGATACAGGAGAAGTTATTGGACGCGACGAAATGGCATCGTTGTCATCGTCCAACGTAGCCGCAACCGACGATGCTAGGTCGTCATCAGCCTCTCCGCTTATCAAATCTTCCTGCGAGTAGGTGGCATCACACGAGGCTCGAAACTTCATAGCCGACATATCTGAGATCCTTTTTTACATAAGGCGGGGGGGGGGAGGGTTTGTTGTGGTGTCAAAGTCGCAAATTCTGTGGTGGTGGTTGGGGTTCTCATGTGTTTCATGGGTTTGGGTGCGGTGTAGCTGTTAGTAGGTAGAGTAGTACATCGTGTAGAGTAGTACATGGTGTAGAGTAGAGTAGAGTGGTGAGCAGTAGTGCACGACAAGAGTGTCTTTGTGGGAGTGGCGGGCAACCACTGTCCGGCTACTGG